ATGAAAATCTAGGAGACAATGGATGTGTATTTGTGTAAAGTGATTATCACACTCAAACCCTCCTCTTTGTGCATGTTTCAAACCGGGCTGGAGGTTGCGGATATTATCAGAAGTGAAGACATCAGTCGGATTCTTGTCTGCGTGGGGTCTGAGGGGGGAGCTCCACAAGTGAGGGATTTTCTCACTGATTGTTATGACCCCACACTGTCAACAGAGCATCTATTCCTGTCTCTGCATCCACGGTAAAGACGCCAACTGTGTGCGCGTGTGCGGTGTGTGAGGAGTGTTTTTAAATAGTCAAAACAGCTGGGATTTTGTAGTCTCACTGCCGATTGTGGTGAAGTGAGAGTGATTACGTTCACTGCCCGGGCTGTGGCATCTGTACGTGTGTTTGTGTGTATGTGTGTTGCATTTGTGGGTGTCTCACAGCAGAGTGATGTGTGTTATCCATTAACGTAAATGGGGGAAAAAATCTGAATGTAGGGCAGGGGGCTCAGGGAGGCAGGATGGGGGGGTTGAGCTCTCTCTCCAAACTGGAATGTACTCCCGACCTTCACTAACCCGACTCTGGATGCTGTTAGACTATGTCACCATCCAGCTATGTCTTGCTTTAGTAGAATATACCTGTATTATATTAAAGAACACTGCATGAGCACAAGCCTCTTTAGCAGACGGAGCTTGTCACAAGAAGCTCCTGCCAACTAAGGGCTTTTCTAGCCGGCATTAAATCCACGCTGACTTGATTTCTTGAGACCGCTGATTTGATTACGCATTCATGCATCTGAGCCAAAAAACATAAGCTGAACTTTTCCTGGATCTCCAGACTTTGAGACTTGGTTCTCATAACTTTCTATAAAGGTTCTCCAGTTTTCCACGAGTGGCCTTAGATGGGCTCCAGAAGTGCTTATGGGGTGGATTAGGCGTCTTAGACAGTTTGCTTACTGGTAACATTCCCAACTTATATTCATTGTTTGTCTATAGATTTTAAAAGACAACTTCGTCATTTTATAAATGTGACCGCTTGAAATTTATGAGACAAGTATGTTAAAATATCATCCAATATAAAACGTATGGCATGTTTTGGGAAAATTGTCGACTGTCATGTAAATTAGATTAGTTTATAGCTAATGGGTAAAACTCTCAAAACCACTGGTATGCTCCTTTATGCCTCCTTTTAAGGTTACCACAGTCCCTGTGTATGTTGTAACTCTCTAGCAGACACACACACACATAGACTCGCAACAAAAGCTAATAAAGTAGTAGAGAAGGTTAGATGCCCACACTAACATCAAAATGGAGCAGAACCAGAAAAAAACCCACAGCCCAGACCACCAGTCCCTTGATAGAGTTCACATTACAAAGTCTACTTTGTGTAGACGAGACGAGAATGAGTGTGTTAATCATGTGCTATGGCACGCATGCAATTAGACATACAGCCATTCATTTTCGCAGTGTGAGGTCGGGGTAGTGCATTCATTTGTGGGAAGATAAACATGACGGTAACGCCTCAGGTTGGCTCAGGTCAGGGTGGTTTGTATATCTCTGTGCCACTCACACGTTCACGTTCATGTACTGTGCCATCCACATCTAAGCAATACACAATTGTATCTACATATACAATATACAATCCATCTCTTGCTTGTAAGGCTGTCAAACAAATCCAATCAGCTACTGTCAGCCGGATACTGTTAGAGTGTTACGCTGAGTGTTCAAGAAAAAGAGAGAAGAAGAATGCAATCTCAACACCTACAGCTTCTGCCCTATTCACCTTGCATGTTGCTCTGCAGGAAAGCCGTTAGCTCGGTAAAAAGTGGTTGTGTGCGTGTGTGTGTGGGTCGATGGGCTTGTGAATGTGAGCTTGCAGATATCTGCATGCCTGTCTGTCTGGTGTCTGAGTGGGAGACAGGAGAAAGAGCTAGAATAGAATACATTTTATGAGTCTAAGTGTGTCTATAAACAGTGATTTGAATTCTCGAGGCATTGCCTTTGTGTGTGTGTGTGTGTGTGTGTGTGTGTTTGTGTATCAAGTGCATGTTGGGTCTCTGACAGCGCTTTAATGTTGCAGATTAAGTAGACTCTGGTTGTGTGCTGATTGAAACCAGACGTTTTTGCTCAGACACATGCCCACATATGCCAGCACATTGTTTCAATGCCCTTTAAAAAAAAAAAAAAAATGCTATATATCCCTTTAGGAGAAAGGTATTACCCACAGTGTGATATATTTTTCATCTGATTTGGAACAAAACTCTCTATATCTCTATGTATGCCATCTCCTGTCATAAGTGTGTGTTGTTCACCCTATTTTACAGTTCCTCACACACTCTCCTTTTCTCTCCTTTGTCTTTTATGAATGTGCAGTACATCTCGATCAGTTGCACGTAATTCTTGATTCACCCAAGATAGAGAATGATTTAGATGAGTGCCACCATATTGAGACTTAAGCTCACAGAAAAGTCGTAGTGGCTGTCTTTATTCGGGCCAAAATCTCAGAGAGCTAAAGCAGACCAAGCATTAAAGAATGCCCTAAAACATTGACCCAGGTCTGATCTCATCTCGGATTTAGCATTGTTTAATATTGAACCCCTCTGGCGCACAGGACTTTGTCCCAACTGGGTTCTGCATCGGTCAGCACATGGCCCACAAACATATGCACATACAGACATGCACACACACACACACACGCGCTCTGGCGTGCAGAGCCCAGTGAAAACAAAGCTGGGCTCTGCCAGTGTAAACACCGCCCATTGTTACGGGCACTCTTTCCCGCCTCGTATCTTCGCTCCCCGTGGCGGTCCAGGGCCAAGAGGTACAGCGCTGGCACCGGTCCCGTTTAGTTGAGTTATATTGAGACTCATTTGCCATGCGTTTATGTGACCATGTCATTATAATGCAGGCTATAGAGTGTGATTTATGTCCTTGGTTTCTCTCCCTTGCACTCCTCTTTCTCTCTTTTACTCTTTCAGATTTTACTGCTTGGCTCCTTAAGTGTGGTTTGCGGCCGTTTGCTTCGAGGGGTTTTAGCTTTTTAACAATTATTTTTAGACAAGCAGCAGTCAATTCACTATAATGCACCAGCTTCTGCCAGCAAAGTAAGACCATAGACAACATGGGAAATGACTGTTTAGAAGGATAGATATGTAAAATGTTAAATAAGTGTGTTGGACTGTGTGTATACAATGCATGCACGTGTATGTGCATGTATCAGTTGGCCTTTAAGTATTTGAGCTTGTGTATCTCAATTATATGTCCCTTAATTGTGTTAAAATGTGAAAGAGTGTGCGGCGCATCATGGCGTTTCTCAGCTGTGACCCTGGGCCACATGTGCAGCCAATTAGGGCCAATCAGAAGGCTGTAATCAGGGCGTGGTGTGGGGATGGTGGCAGCGTGGCAGTGGGGGGAGTTTTAAGACCCATGATTAGTGTGTCAGACTGATGAGGAAGGACAGGGGAAGCTGCCGGGCCCAATCCCATTTCTTCATTCCTCTGCGTTCTTCACTTCCACATATGGAGCAGCTTTGTTTATTTAGTTTCTGCCAACCAGATCTGAATAAAATGAGGTTTCAAATTCTTGTGTTTTTAACCTATTTAGGCAACAGATTGGTGTGGTTTGCCACATGAGATGATGCAATTACAGAAAGGTATTTAAATGTAAGAGTATAGCTTTCTACAGCTGGCAACTCACCTAACACTATATGAATTCTCCTGATGCAGTATGGTGAGCCCATCTAAGCAGATTAAAACATACTCCGGCATCAATCTCCTGCTATTTCGCTGATAGGAGCTAGGAAAGCAAAGGCTGGAACCAGATTCACCAGCTATTTGAAGTCTTCCTCCTCTCACATGTTCATTGCTCCACAAAGCTTTCTGTGTATTGTACGATATGGTTGATGTACGGAAAATGAATTTGAGAGTACAGTACTACTTTTGTGTCTTTGTAAGGCAATTACTGCTATCATTGGCTGCACCACAGTGAAAGAAAAATGTTCGCAACTTTATGAAGTCAGTGGTTTAAGGAATACATTACTCAACGCAGTTAGATCATGCAGTGTTGGCACTATATATAGACACAGCTGTAATTCTTACGTGTGTGAGGGGAGGACTCCCATTTACGCAGCAATATGGCAATCAAATGGGGAGTTACAACTTTTATAACACTGCTGTGCACTTGCCATACACTTAAATTGCAGTATTAACATTTGCACAAACCACAACTGCCTCAAGATCATCTCTTTGGTACCAAAAGGCCACAGAAAACAAATTATGCAAGATGCAATAGAGCCAAGGCCATGTAGGAAGATAACTTCTTCCTAGCTTAGGTACAGGTGTACCACACAGCAACATCTATCTAGTCCCCATTTTTAAACTGCTCAGTGATGGCTGTTGTCATATCTGTGCATTTTACTCCTCACCAATCTAAAACACAAACACTGTATGTCATGATCTGCAGGATAAATGTCAGTAATCTTCCTATTAAAGTCTTTTCATCATAGCTTGTATTTGAAAAACAATCTTGCAATGTATCCAGGCCACAAGTAGTTTCCAGTGGAGGGAGCTTTGTGAGGCTGCTCCGCTTCTTCCTGCACTTTCATTGACTCTTGGTCCAGCATAGCTTTCGGGAAATCAGAGTGCAAGGTCAGAAGGAGTGTGTGAATCACGTCCATCAGGCTGTCTCATTCATAGCTCCTTACGCCTCCATTCACAACATACAGCCAATGAAATATAGACGATACAGCTATGTGCACACGAGGGAGAAGGCCTCCCCAAGAGGCAAAAAAATGATTGCAAGTTTTTTAATATTTACAGACTCAACTGCTTGTACTGATACATCTAAGATAAACAAATATAAGCAGATCATTTTTGTATAGCTCTATGCAGAACTGCAATAGAAACGACTGCTATATATGTCCTTTACAAATCGCCTAATTATCCTCGTTGTGTGTTTCTTTGATTCCCTTGTCCCCAAACTCCCCTCCTTTGCTCCACCTATCCTTCTCTTTGAAGTCCCAAAGAAGTTGCTGCAGGATCACGGACCCAGACCGCCGGTGTACTCCCCTCCACCCAGCGCCCATGACCCCAACATAGTGGGAGACAGCCCTCCGGAGGGGAGCTCAGTCAAAAGCTCTGACGCTGTTCCAGGTGAGCAAAGTGAGGAACACATAAGCTTTTTCACTCTCGCACACACTCAGGGCCTCCCATGGAGAGCAGTTAACACTAAACAGTCCCAAGGCCTCCCAGGCATCAAAAGAAACAGTATTTCAGGTCTCAAGTCAGGGCATATATGTATGTATATTTAAAGTCACACGGGTTCAAATGTTTCCATATGTATCCAACCAGAGCCATCAGTTTGGACCATTTATGATCATTGGTCTTAAAAATATACTGCTTTCCAAGAGCCAATGATGTGACCACTATATAACTCAGTCTGCTGTGCTATCTAACTCCCATAAAGAGAAAGAGGGAGAAGACAATGAAATGAAAGAGAGGAAAAAAAAGAGACACTAGCAAGGAAGGAAACTTGAACAAAGCTTTATTCATGAGGGATGGTGGCCTGCGTCCAGCACGCTAATTACTCTGCTCAGCGACCGGCACTGTACTGATTAGGAGGATAGACGGATGAATGAGGAGCTAAGAGAGGTGCGGACACGACATGTGTGCTGTGACGCATGAATGGCTTCCCTTCCTTGCACCGGCTTCAAAAACTGCACTGAAAGCTCATCTAGAAAAACCTGTTTCCATCCCTGATGCACCGACCAAGAAACATTAAACTGTAAATATATTATATTAAACTGTAAATATAGGTATCCTGATCGTCTCATTTCTCTTTGTTTATTTTCAACTGGACAGATTCGATCTTTCTGCTTGACCGACATGTTGTCAGTGTACAAAACAGCTGGATCACCATTTTCACAACATACTTCTTAAGGGAATAGGTCGACATTTTGGCAAATACACTTTCTTTCCCAGAAGTCATAAAACTTAAATTCTTGATTTTTCCCCTTCTCTTTTTACTTAACTCTCATGTGTTTCTCCATTATATGTATTTAGGTTGCTGGTTGTTTTTATGAGAACAATTTAATATTGCTTTGTGAGGCTTTACATTGGGTGAATTATTCAAGCCAGGTTTGTCATGGTAGCATCATCATATCAAATGGAAATGTTCTATCTGCCTGTATTTTCAGCCTGACTTGTTGGTGTCTTTGGAAACTTTAGGATCTTGTCTAGAATTTAAAATAACTTGTGAATTCGAACAGGACAGGACCATGTTGTAGAAATGAACCCACCCGTTAGAAGGGTAAAATAGGTTGAAGTTGTAAACCACAGGTTTTATTGTCTCCGTATTTGGTCTGCTTGTTGCCATGTGTTGTTTCTACACTGCAATTCCCAGAGATCATTTGGCCACGATGGTGTTTTCTTTTTACTGTAATTTTCTTTCAGTGAAGTCCTGTATTTGTTTTTGTCCCTTCTGCGATGATGCCAGTTGCAACTGGTCCTAACTACCCGGTTCCCCCTTCTGTCTGTTCTTAACACACATCTGTTGCTGATGCCGAAAACAATAAATACTGTAAATCACTCTCTGATTGAGACACATCAAGTTTGGTTCAAGGATTTATAATTGTTAAAATGTCATTGAATTGTTATTGTTAAATAAATGTATTATGAATAATGATTTCACCTGAAGACATCATGATAAAAGTATTTCATCATTATATATTCCGTTTTTTCTAGCACTGCTAGTGTTTTCGATTGAGAATTTTCCTATTTTTACGTGTGTTATTTGTGGTCTGTTGGTTGAATGTTAGCCGATGTGTGCGCCACAGCAGTGGGTCCAGGTGAAAACACCTTCTCAGTGAGCAATTCTCGTCTAAACTGCATTTATCAGATAAAGAGAGCCTGACACACCAAAGACACTCTGCAATTAGAGGTCATTGGTGTGTGTGACAGTTCACCGAAGCAAGCTCACCTACAGTAACAACAAAATAAAGCATGTGAATATGACTATGCACACAGAGTTACGGATTAGGTCGTTGAAGGCTTCTGTTCATTTTAAACACTTCTTCAGGTTAACTGGATGCAACTATCCCAAGAAAAATCTGTTTAAATCTAAGTGATCAAACCTCTCTGCTGATCTCAATTCCTCGACTTTTGCATACACCACAGAAGCCAGCGTGTAAACACAGAGAGAAGTCCTACTGTGATGAACATCCAGAGGAGGAAACAGTTGTTCTCATCTATAAATAGATTGTTTTCTGAGATTTTGGGGAAGCTTTTGAAATGTGCCAAAGTGCAAACTTTTCCCATGTGGTTGTATTGTTCCCTTAGACATGAGTCAGAATGAGTTTGACAGAAGCGGATATTGTGTTATCTTCTGAATCACACAACTCTCTGTGAACACATGTGTGTGTTTATGCGTCATTCATCTTTTTTACAGAAGCGTATCTCCTAAAATGGAAAACCGCTGTGAGACTGCAGATGACTCAGTGATCTGAATGCTGTAGTCACAATACCTCAGAGACAATACACTCCGACTTTACTGTAACTGAGCCCACCAGTGGCGCGATAATCTGACTGTGCACACTCCATACTTCTTGATCTCAGAGCGTAGTCATGTACAAAGGAAACTTTTCAAAAACATCTGTGTCTAAATAAAGAATTCAAATGCAAAATGAATTACCCTCTTAGAATGCAGTCTGCTTTGTGTTGTTAAACTGAACTTTTCTGCTTTTGCAGATAGGAAGAAGATTCGGGAGACTAACCCCAACGAGGAGAAGTTTTCAGAAGCAGAAGCTGGAGGAGGAGGTGGAGGAGAAAGTCCACTGCGACCCCCGGGCATGAATCCTATCATCAACTCCACCTCTAGCGCCAACATGGCGCTCATCAGCAACGCACTGGCGGCCTACAATTACATCTCAGGTAGGGGGAAGATTCCTATCATCGAGTGTGATCACATGAGTAGCCTAAATATGCTGGAAAGAATAACCGGACGTCTTTCCACTTCCAATGGAAAAGATGAAATTACACCACAGGGATCATTATTAGTCGAGATTAGAGCCGGATCTTAAGATTCAAGTATTTGAGTGTGTAGTTGTATGTGTGGTACATGTGTGTGGCACGCCATCCTTTGTGTAAAAAAAAAAACCCTGTTTCCTTTTTCTTGTTACTGAAAGGTATGTAAATGTAGTAAATGTTCTTGTTTTATGACCTCAAATAAACAGTCTATACGTAGTGAAATGCAGAAATCATGCCGTCAAATAACCTTAACTTCCATGACACATTAACTGTAATGTGAAATGGAAGTTGATCCTGTGCAAGATCAGCTTACTCAGCTTTAAACTTGTTAAAAATGCTGGATGCTGCCAGTGAATTGAATGTCAGCGAGGACTGTAACACATGATAGTTTTAGGTTGAAGACAAACAACACTACTCCAATCTGGAAGAGCTGTAAGCATCTATGAGCATGAATGGAAGCAAAGAGCAGTTACAGTAATCAAGCCTGAAAATGCCATTAGTTTTAACCAGAAGCTGTGAAGATTCATTCCTTAACAAAGATCTGAGTACTGTAACCTAAGTCCACCTAGAGCTTGAGGGGGCGGGACACATTAACCAACATTAACAGCATGTGAAAATACATTTCTGAAGATGAGTGAGGAGAAGTGCAGTACATAGCAAGGTTAGCAGGATTTGTGTGACACCCAACCAAATCTGCAGCCAGTGTTCATTACAGTGAGGGAGACATCATATGTCATAACAGAGCAGGCTGAACAGGTCAGTCACAAAGATCCTATTGAATGTTTGACATATTTTCTGAAAGAAATCAACTAGCTTCTTGTCTTTCTCCCCTCCCCCAACAGACCACCCAGAGAGGGCTGCGCTCTTCTTCGTCTGTGGCGTGTGTTTGGGCCTCTTCCTCACACTCTTCGCCCTGGTGGTCCAGATCTCCTGCCGCACCGACTGCCAGTCCCGACAGCGGCCCCCTGCCAAGAAACGAGCGCGCCCCGCCGACTCTTCCTCCGATTCCAGCGACTCAGACTCGGACTGGGACACCACCTCGGATCTGTCGGCGCGGCGGCACCGCCGATTCGAACGCACGCTTAACATGAACGTATTCACGTCGGCGGAAGAGCTGGAGAGAGCGCAGAGGCTCGAGGAGCGGGAGCGAATCATCCGAGAGATATGGATGAACGGGCAACCAGACATCCCCGGGACACGGAGCCTCAATCGGTATTACTGAGGACTGCTGAGGGGAGTTTTGTAGAAAGAGACATGGCCCTCGTGAAGCTTTATAAGCAAGCATGCAAGCTGTGGACTCACGCTGGTGAGAACAGTTGAGGGTATTGCAGACTTGGGAAGAAAGTTATTTTCCCTCTGCTGGTTTGCATATTCCTCTGGGTATCATAAGCTGTGTACCCCATTCAGTAAGAGAATAAGCTCCCACTCTGCATGGTAAGCTCACCCCTTTCTGCCGGAAGCCAGAGGTGAAGGGCTACACTGCCTTGCCCCTGACCTCAGCAGGCCCTTTTGAAGTGGGGATTTATGGGTTAGCTGCCTTAAGACACACACACAGGCCTGTAGAAACTACACAATGACTGAAGGGCCGAGGCCTCAGACGGGTCTGTTTCATACAGAACGTCAGTCACCTGCAAAAGACTGTGACACTTGGAGCTTTATGCTCAGCACCCTCCAGTATTTAAGTGGGGACTTTACAGAGGGGCAGCAGAAAGAAGGGTACTATGGGATAACATAAGACAATCTTTCCACAGTGAATAACCGCCACTGCCTTTTGAACTTTATAAAACCAAAATATATTTTTGGGGAATTCATCTCAACCCATATGAAATCTATTTTATAATATTTAATAGTTTATTGATGTTGTGTATTTTTGTTCTCAAGTATGGTTTATCATGAGATTTTTTATACTTGGCGAAGGTTGTCTGGCACCTCAGGGATGCAATCCTAGTGTTTGTGTGTTTGGTTGATGTATTTGCTTCCTAAGAAGGGGATCAGCCCATTTAAACAGCTAATGTCAGCATTTAAAGAAAAGAATTAGAAATATCATATATATTGAGCCTCAAAGAGGTTTAGTGATTTAACCTTATTTTTGATACAGTATGTTTAATTGACAGTGCAGTGCCTTTTCTAGCTATTAAGTCAGATTCTATAAACCAACAACTTGTCAAATGATTTATTAATTGGATATCCCAAATATATTTTACTGTTGCTTTGCTGAAGTAGAGCATGTTTCAAATCGGTCACTGACACGCTATGCACTTGCTGCTCTCCCCAGATGTAAATGTACGTAACCAGAATATGCCAATTTTGTACCAGTGAATTTGCTAGAAATAACTTTCTGGTCCTTGCAAAATGTCAGGTCTTGTGTCAACTGTGCCCTTATTTCTAAGATACCAGTGCTACATCGGATGCTCGGGGTGATCGCTGCTCGTGGCCATCTGGAGAAGGAACCAGCACTGAAAAAAGGTTCACAGTGGACATGCAACCTGCGTCTCTAAAATCATGTTGCCAGTTTATTAAAATAAGCTATTGTAAATCCAGCTCTGTTTGTGCTGCCTTGGATTCAAGCATGGAAATAATTATAGTTTTCATAAAAGCTTGGTGTTTTCCTGACTGAGAGTTTAATTGAGAGTATACAGGACATATTAGGGTCATCCACATAAAGACAGCCACTCTATATCATTTTTTTTTTATTAAAAACAGTTATTGTGCTTCAATTTGAATGGGGTTCAAATGTGCTGATAGCTGGTAAAGTGAGACCAAAACATGACCCCTGTGCTTGGAAATAAACTGTGTTCAAAATAACACGCCCACTGTTTTGTTTAATCTTGCACATTTTCTTCTGAAACTATGTTTTGATTTTTAAATGTCACCTTAAATGTGCACAATGCTATATACCATTAAAGTCCAGCACCATACTCGCTCTGTACTGTGGATCTCGGAAAGAATTATTTGCTCATAATAACTTTACAAATATAGAGTTGACACTGTACAATAAGGTCACCATGAACTCTCAAGACGTGAGCTGATGATGGATCACGTGTGGGTCAGTGAGATGTAGTGGTGTGGATCGCCCCCTGGTGGTAAAGTTGGAGCTCTTCAGTTTGTGTGAATTAAGTTTGAAGTCACCCATTTTTTGACGAGTTATTTATAGCTATTGCCAATGATTTTATGATAAATAAATAAAACGTATCTATTTGAAATTGTTGCTGTTGTGCCGTTTCCGCGGACACGACACAAACAAGACCTAACTAGTAGATTCACACATTCATACTGGTTCACATCCTGTGGAGGTGAGCAAAGTGACACAATGTCTTGGAACAGCAGGAGCCACGGACTACCGTTCATACCAGGATTTACCTTTCCGGATGTAACGGTAAGACTGTTACATTAGCTAGTAACGATAAAGGTTAAACACAAACTAGGTTATAGGTTCGTTAGGATGTCTTAATTCAAAATGTCGTTAAATTGCCTAGCTTGGTTTAAGGCTCTTTCGTTTCACTAACGGTTTTAAGCCTTTATTTGACAATATGTGACAATGCATTAAGGTCCCAGAGAGTAGGACTGTTTTTCATTTAGTACAAAAATGCAGAATCGTAATATTATGGCTACTTGTTTAACTTAAACTAAGCTAATATAGGCTAACATCTGTTGGCACTTGTTGCCATGGCAAAAACAACAAAACACTTTCAGGCAGCTTGGCTGAAGGAATGCAGATAAATGTAGATATGGAGAAGATGCATTGTACTGTTTAGAATGACGAGAACCGATACAACCTATTAGAATTTAGTTTAACGTCAATCATCATGTGAAATATAGTTTTGCTGACGTCAATGTTCAGTGAAATGTGTGCTCAGGACATCGACATGTGTGATGTTCTAGTCGATCTCTGATAATGTTACATTGTAAACAACGGATCCTGTTTACATTGAGAGGAGAAAGTTCTGTTACATTATGAGGCGTTCAGGCTCTGTTCAGGCCAAAGTGAATTATAACGTTATCATGATGTGTTCACGTGTGATCTCGTAAAATGTAGTTTCCATTGACAATCCAGTTGTTTGAAGGAGATGTTTTCACATTACTATTAAATAGATATTAAAAGGGGAATTATGACCTGTTTACAAAACCTCTAAGCAGCTTATAATACATCATTCAAACTACTAATGACAAGGTTTGTTTTAATCGATAAAAAACACAATCTTTTATTTCCTTATCATTTGAAATGTGTGTTTTTATGAGGGAACAAAAACACTATAAGTAAAGTAAAAGGATAACATTTAGAATTTTTGATGGTTTACAAATTATCTTTTGGATGGTGGCAAAAAAATTGAGTCTGGAGACCAGCTGCTATAATAAAACAACAATATCATCAATGATGGCAATTAGTATCTCTCTCTCTCTCTCTCTCTCATATATATATATATATATATATATATATATGTGTATACATATGTATTTATTCATGGAATTTCACAATATTTACATAGCACCTGCTTTATAATAAAAAAATACAAAAAAATCTCACTTTTTTGGGACCTTTAATGTCTTTGTCTGCAGAAGTCAACCTTCCATCGTCCCCAGACACTGAAGTACAACAAAGGCTATGCTCTGGCCCCTCGCCCCACTGTGGGTATTGGACAGGATCCTCTTTTATCTGAACAGTTGATCCAGCAGGAGATCAGTAATTTGTCTATTGAGACGCCAGACATTACTTATGGCTCCTCTGACCAGAGCATAGTCAAAGTCTTCATCCCAGCTCACGTGGCCCTTGATAAAAAGGTACAATAATATTTTTATTTATTCATTTAATTTGGATTGTTGTTGCTGTCCAATAAACTATCCAATTAATTGCTTGTTTGTTTGGTTTGTACCACCCTCTTGTCTTGTAGGTGCTGCGCTACAATGCATACTTTCAGGAAAATATCCAGTATTCCCCTGAAGAGGAGTGCTGGGTGCATCCCGTGGTCATTTACTACTACCTCGAGGATGACAGCATGTCCATCTTTGAGCCCATAGTGGAGAATTCTGGATTATCGCAGGGGAAACGGCTCAAACGCCAGCGGCTGCCCAAGAATGAACGTGGAGAGCATTACCAATGGACAGACCTCAATATTGGCATGGACTTGGAGGTGTACGGGGTCAAGTACCACATCACACAGTGCGACACTTTTACAAAGGTACAACATTCACTTATAGGAAAGCTCTTGAAGTGTGTTATGCATATTCGTTATCTTCTATATACAGTATATATATACTGTGTCTCATTGTAGGAATTCATGGAAAGTGAGGGCATTGTTCTAAACGAGCCTGAGCCAATCCCTGTGGATCCCTACAGCAAACGTGGCAAAAACCCTCAGCCTTCCTTCACAACAGCCTCCGGATTTGATGACTTGCACAAGTTTCTGACCATGGATTGTATGGTAAAGGAAATTTGTGAAGTTTGCGTTTCTTCTAGTTAAGATCGAGCCAATATCTACAGTAATAGTGAAGCCAATTTTAAGTTAATTTAACGTTACAGTATAAATAATCTACAAGAGCAAAGTAAAACTCAAGATAAGTTTTGTACTAAACCACATTTTTCAAATATAAGTGATCTTTCGAAGTGATCTTGCATCGTTAACCAGGTGTTTGTACCGTGACATTTAGCATTTGACTTACCAATTCTAATTCAGGCTTTTAACCTCTTCTTGGTCAGGTGCTGCGTTTCTCTGCCCTGTGGGAGGATACGGATAATCTGTTTGGGGAGACCAGGCCTGTTACCATCCAGTATTACCTGGTGGATGACACGGTGGAGATCAATGAGGTCTACGGACGCAACTGCGGACGATTACCCTTCCCTGTCCTGATGCGCAGACTGAAGTTGCCCAAGAAAAGGAAACCGCCTGGTAAAATGCAACGTTGTGTTTCTGTCACTTTCAGCTTTGTATATAATTGGATCTGACGCGGTGCTTTGGTTCAGGAGCCTCTTTGTATCCAGTCACGTCATCAGAGTGAATCTTATCTTAAAACCAGCATCACATCAACACTATTTACATCATACTGCTCTGTAATTGAGTTTTAGTTATATATATATATATATTTTTGTCAAATATTGTTTGTAGTGCAGAAAAAAAAACACAATTGTATTTTTTTAAAAGAGACAACGTAAAAAGATTTCTAAACTAATTAACACAAATGAAAATACTCGTATTTCCATCCAGAGATCTTTCCCAGCTGTGTGCTGGAGGTTTCAGCAGCGGAGGTAGACGAGTACTACTCCCCCAAAGACTTCCAGGTGGGACAAAGGATAGAGCTGCTGAGCCGTCGCTTCCTGCTGTATGACTGCGACGGCTTCACTAAAGAGTATTACCAAAAGAATCACCCTGACCTGGAGATGAAACCCTTAGAGGTACCAAAAGAAACTGACCTGCTTCAGGAGAAGAAGAAGGTAAGAACCGGAAATGTATTTTTCATCTCAAACTATATCATCTCTATTGCCTGAGGATATGTGACGTTTTGTCGCTATAGATAATTATGTTTTGTCCTTCATTACCCTCGTCTGTCCTTGTTTATTTATTGTACATTTATTGTACATATTGAGCAGCTACATATTTAACTTCTTTTTGAATATGTGTTTGTTTTACTGTTGTGTACTTTTATGTGTCTGTGGCTGCTATGACGTTTTATTATCTATTCTGTCCACCTCTATATCTCACACAGCCTACAGCCCAGCGCTGTGTTGGACAGTAGGCTGGCTCCCATAAGAATTGGCCTTCGAGTGTAGTATTCTTGAACGGGTGTTGAAAATATTTGATATACTACAATTTGTATTTCTATTGTGAATCTATCTACAGGAGGCTCCTCCCTATAATGGTTTTGGTTCACAAGAAGAATGTGCTAAAGACTTCAGACGCCAGAAGCCGGGTATGCGGAAAGCAAATAACCAGCCGACCAGAGAGGTAAAAATCAGACCAGCCATTTAAAAGAACACGCCCCTCTAGAATCTTCACTTTAAAAAAAAAAATGTGACACATACAACAATTTATGTCCATTCTCTATCAGTTGATTATGTAGCAGAGCCATCTTCATGATGTCATGGAAGGTTGGATTGCCTCAAGAGTTCACTCCACAAGACCAAGTGAAAGCCTTTGCAGAATGTTTAACATAATAAACAAACTATTGCCTGATATCAGACAGAATTGTCATTTTGTCACACTCTTGCTCTTTCCATTCTCAGTCTGACATTGCCTCCACACTCACACGTTTACATTCGACAGTCGATGTGTTGCCATGTCATCATACTTTGTTCTGGTGTTTTAAGAGTGAAGTAAATAGTTCCTAAAATATTCAAATCACGTGTCATTAAAAAAAAATGACCATCAATCGCTAGTATTTGCTTATTCCGACTCAGAACTTCAAGAGAAGCCTACCAGAGGGGCAAGTTGGTAGAACCAGTGGGGAGAACGCAAAACACATCTCCCCCCCTTTGAAGAAATGCATTCACAGCAGACTGCTGTTTGATGTCATCTGTATTTTTGATTGATTTAGAACAGCCCCGATAGCAGCGTCAATGTTGTCTGTAGCGGTGTCCACTGTTTTATTACTCTTCGGTTCCAGTGCACAGCTGACGACAACAGCGTTAGTCCCGCCCATGGCACCAATTGTTCGGACTCCTGTGGCACTGATTGGCTCAATCACTTTTTAATGAGAAAACCGCTCTCAATCGTCACAACGCCAGACGAATCAGTCGACTCAAACTCGGAGGATTGGGCAGATTGAAAGGTTTGGACCCATACAAAACAAACACTGGACCTGCTGCAGAAAATGTATTTTGTTTGATGGAATCCGACGATGTTCCCTCATCCACATAAAACAAGCGGAAGACCAAACATGGATATGTTTAGCAGGCTGTCAATAGCATTCAGGTGTAGGGGAGTCCACCATGATCAGTGCCACCAGTGGTTGAGTCCAAGTGCACTACCCAATACAGAATCACCTTAACACACTGCTGTTAACTGTTTTGTGATAGAACGCTGGAAATGTAGAAGAAAGGAGAAGTAATTCTGAATGCATTCATCTCCATTTACCAACTGGCAATGCGAGCATTTTCCATTTCTACAAAAATAGGGAAACATGTAGAAAAATGACTTCAGTCACAATATTTCAGAAAATTGCATTATTTAATAAAGTAATTAACAAAAAAATGGAATGGCATGTGGTAATATCCATCATACATACTTGATGCTTATCTGTTAAGTGACCTGTGATGAATTTCAGATTTTAAACAGACATTCATTGGGCGTGGCCCAGGTGACCCCACTATTGGTTGGCCAAAATCCCTTTCCTGACATGGTGAAGGGATAATGGTAAGGCCAGCATACAGTTAGCTGTTATCATACCATACCATACCAGTAAAAATGTTCTGCTCCAACGGACCAGACTAGAAAATAAGCAAAGCCAATTCAATGAGGAGAGCTGAAAACAGCTGACGCAAGACAACACTACAGCCGATACAGTACTTATGCATCAACACATTCAACAGTGACACACAGCCAGTAACGTGTGTGCCGCATACGGTGTTCACTTTACATTTGAATCATTCTGCATACAATTGGTGCTCCTTATCCGTGGGATAGCAGGCGGCGTAGATGTATAAAAAAATACTGATATGATGAAAAGAGTAAATGTCTGTTGGGCTCAAGGGATTTCCTTTGATTTCATTTTCCAGCATCCGAGCCCTAAGTCTGTAGCGACTGAGTCCGTGTAACATCTCAGGACATAGTCAACAAGAGGCTTGGTGGCCGGTGGCCGCCAGCTTTCCCGTTGTGGTGTTGAGAAACCTCGGCCAGGGCTGAGGTCACTGTTCAGGCCAGTAGGTGGGCTATCTTAGGGGGATTTGAGTTTTTTGATCCGAGGAGAGGCTCCATTCTCTGCTTTAAGAACTCCGTTTTCATGGTGACCAACTAGCAGGAGGGGGGAAAAGTGAGAAGTCAGGATCTCTACTAATGTAGCAGATAAACATTCAACGTTCATCAGGACAAATCAAGAAAGCAGGGAATGATGGCAGTGGGAAAAGTCACATTTATACTCACGTGAGTCTCTCTTCAGCGGCCGGAGGGGTTGTTTTGCGGCAGCCTTCTTGCGGACAGCCTGTTCGTGTCTGAACTCCCTCCAGCGTCTCAGCTGGAAGCGGATAAACTTCCAGAGTAGCCAAGATTGGGTCAAACATACCAGCAGTAGAACGGTCATCCTGAAGGGGCCCCAAGGACAGAAGATTAGTGCAATTGTGTGCTTTGGAAAATGCATGAAGTAAGGTCTGAACAACTTTCTTTTTTTTTTTATTTCTCAGGCTTTGAAAGCAATGGACACCAAGGCAACCACAATTTAGTTTGGTCCAGTTGCCCCGTTTGCAGCCAAGTCAAGTAATCTGCTAGATATGTTGTCCTTGGGGAGATATCTTTCAATAGAGTTCTTAATAATCATGTAAACTGCAAGTACAGCTAATTGTTAAGCGTGACATGTTTTTTCTCGCCATGTCATATTTGGTCAATTGGTGTCAAATTCCTGGCTACAGCTACTGAGAATTTATGTTGCAGACCAATAAAGACATTAAAAAGTTAAGGTTCTTCGTGGGCGCCAAGTGTGTTTTTGACTATACAGTTGTCACAGTAGCTGTAAAAATTAATAGCAGTGCCACAAAATAATTCAGTATCCACAGATGTTGGCCGTAGGTCGTTACCTTATCAGCACAGTGTTGAAGTTGCCCATCTCCCAGTCCAGCCCCTGGTTCTCACTACGAGCCAAACCAAACCCAACAGCCAGGAACATCAGGGTCAGAGTGACCATCCGTGTAAACACAAAGCTGATGGCCCACATGTCAAACCTGAAGCACAAACAAAACAACTATTTGTCATAGGAACATATCAATAAATCTGTAAAAGTCAAGTCATAGCGATAAAAGACAAAAAAAAAAAGACTAAAACAGTGAGGTTACTGACATTTTCTGATGGTTCTCATCAGTGAAGTAGAAGAGTCTGGCGATGTGAAAGCCCAGTTCTGAGACATACTGGAGGAAGAGGAGTACCAGACCCACACGACTTAAACTGAACAAAAAGAGGAAAGAAGCAGACGAAAGATAAGTTAAAGCAAGGAAAATCATCCAGTGGTGAACATCCATAGAGGGTTCTGAAACCATTTACAGTCATTTACATAATATCAGTAGCAGTAAAGCAGAACAGTGCAGTGAAATCTGGCGCTGCAGATAAATTCCGTGGAGTTTCAACCTCAAACTAAACTTCCTGTTAAGTCGTTTCTCGCTCTCTCCCACATTTGAATTTTGCAGGTTCTCAAGAAGAAAGCTCCTTCTGCTGGGCGCTTACTTTAACGAATAGGCTGCAGCGATGTGCAGCAGGTACAGACAGATGTACTGGAGCTGACGAGAAATCTCCTCCTGAAAGAAAACAAAACAGTTGCAAATGATATTGCTTTTTGTTCTTTGTCATGCTCTGTCTAATGTGCGTACATGCAAAACAAACACTCATTCCTGTACTTCTGTCTTTGTGAGGACACTCACTGACATAGTGCATTCCCACCATCACACCTACTTAAATGCCTAACACCCATAAATCTAACCGGAGCCTTAAAACCAAGTCGTAGCCATTTGAAGGAGAGTGGATCTTCCAAAATGTCCTCATTTACCCAAAATGCCCTTATACTCTGTCGGCCTAAATGTCAAATGGGTGCTCACAAAGACAGATGTACAAGCACACACACACACACACACACACCCCCCCTACACACACAGCTTATCTAGTCACACTCCAAAACTCATCCAGTTCCCAGGGCCTCCTTACTGACCTTGCGTACTTTCTGGAAGTAGAGCTCCGGCAAGGCATGGAGCCAGTAGGCCAGCTGAGTGAGGTAGAAAAACTTCACCTGAAACCTGGAAACACAGACAGGCAGAAGGGAAGTAGGAGAAAGGGGGGAAAACGGCAAGAAGGAGAGAGAGAGAGAGAGTCGGTACAATTCACACAGCTGCCACAGTGACACATTCCTAGTTTGATTAGGCTCCCATGACTATGCAACTGTTAAACACCTTTAAGATACCTGATTAGGAGTAGACACAGCTGAGTAATCCAGCAGAAATGTCCCTGTTTTTAACGGTGTTCAATTCTTTATTCATAACTCTAACGCATGTTAACACGGCTGGTTAGTTTTGGCTCTGTGTGCAGTCAGAAAATCACGGTAAGCTACAAACTACAGGCGGTAGCCCAAAGCTGGATTACCAACAGACCAAATCGGACAACCTGGGGCCCCAATGTCCCTAGATCCACTGCGTGGTAATTATTTAGTCGTTTATAGCATTAAATTACAATATGAAATCCAGCATTTTCATAGAGGGTCGAGTCAAAATCTAGTTTTAATTGCAACATTTGAGTTGATATCAAACATATATAGTGCATAGTATAACCGGCCCTGGGGTAGAACAAATAACGTAATCATCTAAAACTATACATTTATTTTCTAATAAAAAATATATCACTAACAGAGCAAGTATCGCATCATTCATACCTGAGGTGTACATGGGGATAGTTCTCCCAGAGACTGCTGAGATGAAAGAGATATCCTTCCTGTGTGGAGAAATCAAAGACGAGAACACTTTATACTGTCTTTCCTTTGTGTGCGTGTGCGTGTGTGTAATACACTATATCCTTGACACGTCTTAAGTAGTCACTGAATAATCTCACTCACCGTTATGACGATGTACAAACTCCACACACTCGACACCAAGTGAAACACACACAGCTGACCCGACTCATTGAACTTGGTATTCTTGCTCTTGGAGAGGTGGAGACGCCGGTTCACTTTCTGCAACACGAACAATACAAGAGATCATGTGAATGCAACTGGATCCGGTCACAATGGGCGACCTGATGACAGCTGAATGTGTCTACACAAGGAAGTGTCACAGTAAAATAACTAGGACAAGAAAAGAAAAAGAAAACAGCAGATACTATTTGTGTCTCCTCTGAAGTATTCCTTTCAAGACACTTTGGAAATCGTGGTGATGGTGCTAAAATAAAACCTCATTCCTCCTCCGCTGGCCTATTTCTAAACAATGACACAAGGGCTCATACCTTCAGATGGATTAAATTCTACTCTCTCTCTCTCTCTTCACAACTCCATTCCTAAGAGAACTGGAGCAATGTCTGTCTGATTTAGTCTGAGAAACAGTCAATTTGCTGCTCTTTACGTTTTTTGATACGTTACATTTCAAATGGTTCAGTTTCAAATGTCCTTTTAGGTGCAACTGGATGTAAACACTTTAACACATTCATCAATAGCATACTCTTACTGAGGAAACGGTAAATAGGATAAGGCATAGGGTTTTTAAAATGTAGCAGTTCTTTCCGTTTTTCCAAGAAACATCCTAGAAAATGATTGTCTGATAAAATAAAGCCTTAGCCTCCTTTTAGTATTTACTCATTGCTGTGCTTCTCTACGTCTAACCCTCTGACAGTATATTTGCAGTATACTGTATAGAAGGACCTCTTTGTGTGTCTACCATGCCCCCTCTTGTGATGCATTATGCCACTGGGTGACTGAGTACTTACATCCAGTAGATACTCCTGCACTACTGCATGGAGGATGATGGCGATGAAGAAATAGAAGAGGATGGTGGCAGAGTCCTTCCATCCGTAATGGTAAAACGTCACCTCGCCCTCTAAGCACACATAGGAGGGGTTAAACACACACACACACACACAATACAACGCGTTTACAATGAGAGGTGTGTTAAGCATCCTGGAGCTATGTAAACTCGGTTTAAAAATCTGATGACGTTATATGCAGGAACTGAACCGTATGAACTGTAGGATTAGCCATTGACTGTGAATTAAAGTTAGTATTTAATAAGAAATCCACAACTGCACTGCATACCTGGTGATAGTGTGGTGACGTTGTACTGAGGCTGAATGAAGAGTATGGCCGTCTTGGCTGTTGTCTGGAAATGGGATGAGATGGGAATTAGTATTTCATAGAACATCAAATGGCCAGTCTTCGAGGTATCATTCAAGTATGTAGAGTATGTGGGTATGTGTCTGTGCCTGTACTTGTGAGAGCACGAGTGAGACTCCTAGCTTTTCAGAATGTATAATGATGTTTATAATATTGTCAGTCAACCCTCCCCCGTGGCATCATGACCGACTGGGAGCTGAAAGAATCTGTCTGTGTTGACTCGGGATGTGGAAACTGTAACAGAGCTTCCCAAATTATTCTATGACAAGCAAGTTTCCCAAACCTTTTTTAGCTTAAGACCACTTTAAATGTAGCGATATGTAGCCGCAGCCCCTTGTCACAGGTCTATGTAGCTGTGACTAGTTCAGTCAAAACGGAGATTTTAAATAGTTTATTCTGAGTAACTTTTGGAGGCCCGAAGAGGTAGAACTATCCAGTATCTCACAAGACAAATTTGTCTTCAATTATTTTTGCAATTAATTGAAATGTCATTTATTCTACATCACATTTTCTCAGATCATTTATGGAATATTTTGCTTAATAAATTATTGAGGCAATTCAAATTGTCAAAATTGTTCAGTTGACTAATTGACTGGTTTTGACGATCGTAGAAATGTCATGTTGTGTCTCAGATGTCTTTCCTATCCCATTTATCAACTTTATTTATTTTATTTATTTATCTTCACACCCTTGGGGACGGAACATAACGGGACTTTGATAACATTTGGTGTAAAACAAAAAACAAAAAAAAGAGTCATCCTTTTGATAGCACGTAGCGTAACCTATTAGCTTTAGAGACAACCTCATTAATAAAGTCACTGCATGTTAAAACCCCTTCAGGTCAATGCAGACCTTAGAGCCAGCAGCCACGGCGCAAAGATTGAGACGTGGCACTTAACTATCACCGGCAAGCTCGCGACGAAAAGTCATACCACTTCCGGCTACGCTTTTAGAAATAAAAGCCCTCACCGTCGGACGTCTGCTGAATCACATTCCAAGCAACAGCGTCGCTTTTAATTTGAATGCTGATAAATGCTGTACTTGCTGTCTTAGCTGGACTCCCTGTGCTAAATGACAATTATCAGAATCAAAACGTTGCAGCGGTCTTTGCTGGGAACTGGAACCAAAAGGGTAAAACATACAGTTCAGGAAACGAATAAGATACATTGTGTACTATATGAGGAGACTGGTATGGCTGTGCCATAACTATTTTTGAAATAAACTTTTAAGTAGTAAAGGGCAAAATACCGATAACTTTGAACATATCACAGTTTAAGTAGCAATACACGTGTAAAGTTGCAGTTTATACCCTGCTGTTTACAGCTGTTACTGTGTGGATCAGTTTTAAATCTTACGTTGCTACTTTGACTACAAACCGAGTAAGATTCTTTGTTCATAAAACTTATAAAAAAAACAACGTGAAAAAAACTGCAGCAAGCAGCCACCATATCCGCGGAACTGATTCCACTGATAGAAAGCGCAGATGCAGTCAAACAACAAGTTTTTTAACAAAAGCAAAAGATCATTTCGACCGAATAAGTTTCCGCTTCGCACCAAGTTAACGTCTTTGTGCGTGCAGCAGGCTCTCCGTCTTAAAACAGCTGAGAGAGACGAGGGAAGAAAGAGAATCTGGGTTCATCTCACCTCAAACATCAATCCAATCAAAACGAAAATCACCAGACTGAAGACGATGTCGGCATGGTTTTGAATTAAGAACTCCTGGCTGAAGAAAGGGTAACTCTTGTTTCTCCGGCGGAATGCCATCTTAACTCAATGCTGTTTTCCCTGCTATTTTATAAATCTCAATTTTTTTTCTGACTACGAAGTTCAGGAGTTAACTTTCTCACTGATTTACGCATGCGCGACTTCTTAAAGGGCGCGTGCCATACATACCTTCCTTGAGGCCGTCTACCGTTTAAACAATAAGTAGTCTATTATGGCAAAAGGCCGTTTCAACCTGAGCGGCCATCGGTGGTGGAAAGTGAGTATAGTTACTCAAGTAATGTGCGGAATAAAGTACTATTTTTAGGTATTTGAACTTAACTATTTATGTAATATTTTCCATTTACGCTACTTTATAATTACTCATTTCAGAGGCAAATATTTACTCCACTACATTTATTTGATAGCTTTAGTCACTTTACAGGTTTAGATCATTAATACAAATTAGATATCAACTAATAATTTAATCAACTAATGCTTTATTATAGATTAGGCTACCAAGAAATATATTAAGTCATTGAAATTAGCTTCACTTGTACCAGCTGAAACATCAAAGTAATGTTTACATTAATGCATCACTAATTATAATCCCAAACTGTAATATACATTATTCTGAAATGGGCCACAATGAGAACTTTTACTTCTGGTACTTAAAGTACATGTTGGTGCTACTTAAGTACGATTTGGAATGAGGATCTTTACTTGTAACAGAGTACTTGTACACTGTAGATTTGCTGATTTTACTGAAATAAAACATCTGAATACTTCGTCAACCACTGGTGGTCACAGAGCAGTGCACATCCTAAATGCTTAAAAACAATTCAACTCACGACAAAAAAAAACAATATTTAAATGATGACAAACACTTGTACTCCAGTCACCCCAATATGATGGTTATTTATTGCTTATTTAAAGCCACCAGTGGCCTTTCACTTCACATTTCAAAATTTCATAAAGAAAGTCACCTGCAAGAGAAAAGCCAGCATCATCTCACTGCTTTGTTTGTAGATTTCATCCCTTTGACAGAGCAGTGATGAACAAAACATACACGTGTGCCCTAGAAATAGCATCAAGAGCACATACAAAAAGTCACTACAAGTACCTCATTAGCATATTTTCATGTTGTTACACATTACACATTTGAAAGCTTTTGAAGTCAGTGCCTGAGATGTTTTTTTCCCCGACATAATGTAAATTCAAAAGACATTTTAGCGATTACATGGTCAACATGTAAATAAAGATAAAACATCAAACACAGTTTTCACCAGGTTGACACACTAGCCCTGCTCAAAGCAATGCCAGTTGACATGATTGATTATACGAAAAATACAGTTTCTTATTCTCTGAGGGGACCGGGGATTTGTTTCTTTACATGGCGATAACAATAAATCACAGCAATGGACATAATGGTACAGAAGATAATTGTGCTTTTAAGAAGCCGACGAAGCTCCGGCTTTACGCTGAGATGGTGACGATTCAGAGGTCAATAGTTTCTCTATTCGCATAACTGCTGGCAATTATTAACATGAGTAACAGCAGTTTCGGTATGTAATATAAGACCTTAAAACAGCTGCACGCTTCTAATGACGTTTTATTGATACAACTCATGGCTACTTCCTCAGTACATGGTTACAAGCTGTCAGAAACAGTGTTCACTTCGTTGCACCGTATAATTCTTGAGGCTTAAGTTAATTGCTACCAAAAGAATAGAAAACGCTGAGTCAGGTAGAAGGCGTGACTGAGCTCCGCATACCACCTGTTTGACCAATCAGCTCCTTTAATTACCTTCGTGATGTCTGATGAAAGCATTGCTGAAGCTTTCAACTCTGGGTGTCCGGCGATCGGGAAAGGCAATGCTTTTAAAAAATAGTTCATGATTTGAGAAGAATAAAGGCCAGTTTAGCATTAAACCAAAGCACTGTGCCCCACAGTGCACTAAATATATTGACACAGAGAGGTGAACTTTCTGCCAGCAGATGAAAAAGCAGCCGTCCAAAAAAAAGCTGGTGTACTCTTTCCCTGATTCTGTCTTTAGAAACCTAGAAGTTATCGTCCTCGTCTCTCCGTGACATTATAAGCTGCCTCCTGGGACCCGTGAGGTGAGGGACTGTAGACGGGGAGTTCAGCACTCCGGAGTCCAACTTAGGAGTGGAAGTGCAGTGTGGCCCCACCCGGCCCATGAGCCCGCGAATGTCTCTGTGAAGGGCCGGATCGCTGGGGATTGAGTTGAGGCGCACCCCTCGTTCCAGACCCCCTATGTCCCGGTCCAAACGGGGGTTACTGGCACTGCTGGGGGACTGAGGATCAGCGCTGAAATACAAGGTTGAACTTGACTCTGTAGGACAGAAGTACGGCTCTGGGCTGTCTCCAAACACTGACTTGCCCTCTGGTGAGCTCCGTTTGAAATCCGATGTGGGCGACTCCATCGGGCTCTCCATCTCCAGACTGTCGTCCTCTTCTTCGGGGTTTTCGGTCGATGTGGGCTCGCTCACGCTCTGGAACTCGTCTTTGCAGTCGGAGAGAGGTGCCAGGCCTTTCCCCTGAGAGTCAGAAGTGGAGACCCCCTCGCAGCTGCCTCCTGCTGTGATAGTCATGCCCTCGTTGCTCTTAAACTCTTGGATGTACTCCTCCATATCCAGTATGGCTGCCGCTCCGCCGGCCCCATACGCTCTATTGATCTTCCCCAGGTCTCCTGTTTTCAGAGCCAGCCGGATTAGGAGCCAGTGGTGGTGGTAGCAGGGACAGGAGCTGTTGGCCCGGCCCCCACAGGTTCCCGGGTGCTCCAGCAGAGAACCAGCCACACCTGAGAGGGAGAAGCTGCCGTGGTTTTGAATGGAGGCAGCCGGCAGGCTTTTGTCCCTGAGAGAGAAAGAGGACTCCCCTCGTTCTATACACCTGCTGCCCATGTGGTTGCGGTTCGTACCCTGGGAGATCTCTGTTGACTTGGGGTGGAGGAACCTGTAGTATAGGACAAGAGAGGTAGCGCCTAGGAAACAGGGAGCAAGACCAAGTTGAATTTAGTACACTCAGTTTTACTGTTTATTTACGGTCATATTCATATCACAAATGACTGAAAGGCAGAATATCCCGCATATCTTGCATCTAATATCTTTGTTAAGGTGGTCAATTTGCAGCATATATAATGTTATTTACTTTTGTTGTTATTTAACTAGTAACGGGTTGTAACGGTATACCAGTATCACGGTATATAGTAGTATTAAAATGGACTGTTATCCTACAGTGTACATTTGCTTATCTACGGTATGGACAAAAACTGACATAAGTGAGTGTGTGTGTTAGCTAAAGGCACAATCACACACGAACACACACACAAGCAATCACATGATTTTCCTGGCGAAGACGATGATCATAGTGTTACACTGTGCTATTTTCCGAGATGGTAATCGTACTGTGAAAATGTCATACCGTCACATATCGGCCACATCGGTGTTTTCCCACTTAGAATCATTTTTTTAATCCATTTGAATAACCATAGGTGTAGTATTACTCAGATACCACAGAAACTATTAGAGGCATTGAACACCAAAGCGTCTGAGAGAAATCTGTTGCGTAAAACAGGGAGGGAAGGTAGCGAGAGTGACTCACCGAGGAGAAAGCTGCACAGCACAGTGGCGGGAAGGATCACGCTGTCCCAAGATGCTTCGCTGAGGAAGTCGGAGGCGGCCAGCAGCAGAGTGGTGTTCTCCACCAGCATGAACTGCAAGAGGAGAGAAGGTCACACCATCCGTCATCTCGGACAGCTTTACGTCATTGTAAGCGAAGCACGCAGAGGTGAGGATGACAAGGCAAACTATCTGCCAGTGTGTGTGTATATCTGTGTGTGTGTGTGCCGCTGCCCTGTGTATAAGTCATTGAGGCAGTACTGTATTTGGAATACAAAACAACACATTAGAAACATGGCACCAGAATCAAACACGGTGAAAAGGCATGTCTTACTGCATAAAAACTGGCCATGCGAAAGCGCGAGGGCCCATCTTTGACGTTGAGGAAGAGGAAGATGTGGACCAGCCCCATAACGCCATTAAAGGCACGCCAACACCATGGGCCGGTGCAGATGTCGGGTTGCTGTGATACCAGCCAGAAGGAGGCCGTGAGCCAGTGGAAACCTGGAGGTCAACGCATAAATAGACGTGGAGATACAAGCGTAATTGGGAATCCATGTGCAGAGAGGCATTAACAGGACATGCTGCATCATTCTGAGGATAATTACATCACTCAGTACCTTAAGTAAGCCTCCGCTACACAAAAGCGCCATGAAGCCTGCTGCTCACCTGCGACTCCACAGACCCACCAGTTAAAGACCCTGGCGAAGAACATGAGGCAAGTCACCCTTGCACCCAGCATGCCCGCCCTCCACACCAACTGGCACAGCAGGGCCGCTGGAGGCATGGCCAGGTGGCCCGGTCGTATCAGACAGCAGGCTCTGCTGTACAGCACCAGGGCCCAGGAAATAGACAGCACACACAGACCACAGCAATAGGCCACTGAGGGTAAAAAAAAAAAACAGAAGAAAGTATGAAAAACTACTTCCATCTCTTATTCAGACACTGTCTACAGGACTATCAGTTTACCTGGGGACATGATGCCCACATCGGTGGACACCACAACGTATGCCTGCAGCAGGCTCTGAGGCAGCGTGAGGATGAGGGCCTCCAGCAACCAAAGAGCAGCAACATCTGCCTGCTGCATGACAGCAGCTCCGAGCTCGGCTACTGAACCCTGCATGCGCAGCACAGACCTCATGCAGTCCCATAATCTGCCAGAAGAGGTAGACAGAGACACAGTGATACAAGAAGTGACACACAGTAACCTCCTGTTAAAAGGTTTCAACTATTTATATAACAAATCTTTTTTCGGTCTACTTGATAGCTCTGTTTCCTGCGATGGCACACTGGATTAAATCCTAACAACATATTGTATATATATGCAAATGATGCAGTATTTTGTAATGTAACATCTGGAGTTGCAAAGATCTTACCGTTTGAAGATGCCCAAGTGCAGTATGTGTATGACGGAGAGGTAACACCGCCTGTCATACCCGTCGTCATAGTACCATTTCATACTGAGCAGCTGAACAGCTGTTCCCGGTAGGAAAAGGCCGAGAGTGAGGCCCGCCCACTGCGTCTCCTCGTTCCAAAGGTAAAACCCAATACAGTAGATCACTAACACACGTACACAGAAAACAGATACAGATACACAAATGCAAGTTGGTATTAATAGTAAATGTGTTTCTATCTCAAGTGACATCTGTATGTTACAAATCCATATGATTAGGTGCAGCCTATCATATCGTAAGGTCATGCAGTTTTTAAATGAAACACATGAGACCCAGCGTGTGTCTATCGTGTGAGGATTTGTGGCAAAGACATCAGAGTCCTGCTGTGAAAATAACACATTGATATATTTAACGTCTGATTATTCAGTGTCACACTGACTCCAGTCAAAGCAGCAGCATCTTGTGTTCTTTTTTTAATCTTGTGGGAATGGTACACCTGCTGGAGGCAAAGTCACACTTAGTAGCCTACACATCCAGTCACCTCATCTCTCTCTGTCCTGCCCTTGCTCCATTGATCTGCTGAGTCAGGGAATCATCACACCTGACAGTCTCTGCACAGTGTTTTCAGTACAGACTCCAGCAGTGCATGAATTGAACTTTAGTATTAATAGTAATAACATAAGTATTAATAAGCTATTTTAATAATATGTTTTTGGAGGTGAGCATTATTGCTATGTATCAAGGACAAGCCTTTACTGCGGATGTTTTTTCATTTCTTTGTCGGCTCTGTGACCCTGCTGAATGACCCCTGGAGGTCCCGGGGACCTAGCTTGGCTAACATTAGGCAATGCCAATGTTACATAGCTGTGCATTTAAAAAATAAGCTAGCTTTGTCAATTGCCAGCGTTTCCAACCTGAACTACGGCTGCTCAATGGCTGAGCGACACGTTTTTTCATTCATTAAAGCCAACGGAACATTCTCCACACAAACACAAACAGTCCCCCCCCCCCCCCTCCACTGTTTTCATATTCAATTCCAGCTCGCACCATGCAAATCGAGCAGACCGCTTACGCGGCGAATTCTATGCCCACTTACGAGCGGTCCGTTCGGCCACGATAACCAGCGCCGACGCGCCGAGCAGAGCCGCCTGGCAGCATGCTATCCAGCATCCGCTCCGCCGGGCCGCCGACGGCATTCTGCGGGCGACCGCCCCAGCAGCGCTTATCATGATGCGGACAGGTGGGAGAGTGAATACACCGGTGGCATTGTCCTGGGCATCCTTCACCCTCTTCTTCTTCTTCTCCCGCTGCCTGCCTTCTCCTGCCCCCCCCTCTCACGTCAAAAAATATGTGACGTCACTGCGCGGTTTTAAAGGGGCACCGGTGTACCAGCGTTAACGGCTCACCTTCCATCCCCCTTGGGAACATAGCTCAAATGTTTCATAGGACATATATTTCTCTCGTCACACTTTGATCATTCAACAGAACGCTGCACAGAAAGTCACACAGCATGCCGTGCCAGGCCTTGTACCCCATTGTGTTATGATATTTGTATGTTTCTGTGAAGCATTTTTCTCAGATAGATATTCGGTAAATGTTCTTTTACAATCAGCTGTAAGAGTGCTATTCAGAAACAATCTAACATCTGTGTTTATATCTCAGAATAAACTGTAGAGTCATCTATTTGTGGTTGTAGTCTGTCAGCTGATTAATACTGATACCAAAATATGGAAGTACATGTACACAATTAGCAGCAACATCTTATTGATCGTGAAGATAATTTTGTTGTGTGTTCTTTTTTTCCAGGGTGAAGGGTAGACATTTACTGGTGGTTAGATTCCCAAAACTCATAACAGGTTTTTTATCTATGTCGCCACATAGACACACCTCACACACAAAGGCAAGTATGTACATTGCATGCAAACAAGTGAGGTTTCTTCTGTGTTCACTTCAAAGCTTAGCTCACTGACAATGCATAGTTAAAATAGTAGGCTTAAATACGCACACACATATAAACAGAAACTTGACAAACTTGACAAACTTGGTTTATGAAAAATCACATGTTGTTCAATGAAGCTGTTCCAGAGATGCAAAAAAAAAATGCAGAAAATGTCACAAATCGCTGTTTTTATACATTTGAGATTAATGTTGGCAACAGAATAAATTAAAAAAGATGTATACATTAAATCAATCAAGTCATGGGTCCGAGGCCATGCGGGTAATGTCTTGATTCTTCACACGCTACAACCTGTGTAGAGTATGGGCAAGACAATCCATGATTGAGATAAGGCTTTACTTCAAATCGGCCAGTAACAGACAGCTGCTGACTTGACCTGTAAGGATTATATGGCTGGATTGGCAAGGCTGTTTTAAGGCTCTGATGTGCAGCCTGACTCCAGCTTGATGCTGGTTGAATGCAGAGGTAAAAGCAGATCAGCAGAACACTCCTTTGATGATTTGTAGTTGGTCAGCTCAGTCTCCCCTTGTTCGCCAGAGGTATGAGTCTCCATCTTCTTTATTAGGTCAAGTACATCCCCCTTGTCCATGTCGGCCTCTGCAGCCATGGCCCCGAGCTGCTCTGCCGCCTCACTCATGTCAAATCTTTCAATCTCTGCATTGACCTGGTGTAGCTCCTCTGGCGAGTGTCTGCGGGAGGCCGAGGGGGAGAGAGGACAGAAGCCTTGGAGGTGCACCCGGAGGCTGCAGTAGTGGAGATAGGCACAGGGACAGCAAGGACACCTGTGAGGTCGTTCTCCAGTGTGGAGGCGATTGTGGAGCTTGAGGTGGACAAATTGAGTAAAGCGGGCGGGGCAGAGCTTGCACTGGTAAGGCCTCTCACCTGAGTGTAGCCGCTGGTGGGTCTTCAAGTTGCTGGTGCTACTGAACCGCTTATGGCACACCTGTGTCAAAACAGAGCCAAGGAGAATATGTTTTAGAAACACATCCCACTGCAAAATGGTGAATTTCCTATTTTATGCTTAAATGTTTGAATGGATTGAACAAACTATCTACAACATGTTAATTAGTGAGCTGTAGAGGTTCAGGTAGGCAGACTTTGTAGTCTTCCGACAGAGTCAGGTAAGCTGTTTCTCCATGTTTCTTGTCATTATAATCAAACTGACTGCTGGCTCCAACAACATATTTATAGTACAGATGTTAGAGTGGAATAAATCTTTCCCAAAATGTCGATCAACATCTTTAATCTAAGATATAGTTATACCTTGCATTCATGGGGCTTCTCTCCAGTATGAACCAGGTAGTGTTTCTGCAGGTGGGCCAGCTGAGTGAAGGTCTTACTGCAGGTCTGACACCTGAAGGGACGCTCTCCACTGTGCACTCGCAGATGGACCTGAGGATTGCATGTCAGAGATTAGTATTCACCATTGATTCATTCTGTCAAACTCAAGAAACCATGGTGGCTGGTAAATTCTGGTAAGTTCTCAAAGCCACCGTATTTAGGCTTTTTCTATCCTTTTTTCACTAATGTGATGAAGAAGAGCTTACCTTAAGGTTGGACAGCTGCCCAAAGACCTTTCCACATATGTTGCACTCATACCGGATCTTTCCATTCTGCCTGGTGAGGGGGTAAGACAAGGTCTTGTAGCCGACAATCTGCCCACCTCGTTTGATCTTCCTGAGGTCCATTGCATCCTCAGTATTGCTTTCAGTGGCAGAGGTGGGTTTGGAAGGGAGGCAGTCTGAAAAGGCGGCCAAAGGTGAAAGAGAGGGCAGTGCTCTGTGGATTGAGGGGGCCATTGATGAGGCACTGGATGTGGCAGGTATTGTGAGGTCTGCGTGGATATGGCTGGGAGGAGAGTGTTCGAAATCTCTGAGGTGATCTGAGGGGAACCTGAGGTAGTTTGTCCTTTCGGATATGAAGTCCTTGTTGTCTCTGTGCTCACTGGTTGGTGAAAGAATGAGGTCTTGTTTGGTGTTGGATAGTGCAAGTGTCATGTCTTTGTGTCTGTTGGCTAGAGGGTGAAGGAAGTGTGCATAACCATCAAAAGGCAGTACATGAGATGAGAGTGTTAGGTGAGGTTTCAGTCGATCTCTGTAGTACGGGTATGAGTGAGGTAGAATGCTGTTAAGGCCCAGTGAGTAGTGAGGCAGCAGATAGGGAGAATGCCTCAGAGCAGGATGAACTCGATCATGCACAGCAGGCTCTTGGTAAGGTTTGGCTATAACAGGGCCTCGACTGTGCTGTAAGGTCAAGTGCAAACTGGAGGGAACCAGACCAATTCGAGCTGGTCTTCTGTCAGTCGGAGGGCTGCAGGATGGCAGAGGTGGTAGAGTTGCATATCTATGGCCATGGATGGATTCTGACTGGGGCTGGAATGGGTACGCAGCACGGGGACACGGGGGAAAAACTGCTGAGTGGTTGGTCTGAGACAAGGGGCTATCCAGACGTCTTGGGCAGGTAGTCAGGGATTTGGAAGGCTCGTCTCGGAGGATTTCAGAGACGCTGTGTCCTCGTTTCCCTGTTGTCTTCGCCTGTGCTTGACTCTCTTCTGTGGGACAAATAAAAAGGGAAATGAAATCAGAAACACGTGAAATCATTTTTAGACATTCAGTCACAGTATCATCATTCTTTTGAGTGACACATACACCCATGACATTAACGTGATCATGCACACAAGCTGCTTGTTAAAATCACTGTTTATCTTCATTTTCGTTGGTTCCCGCGGTACTCCAAAGCCTCATCCTGTGTGTGGTTGATAAGGTGTGTGTGTGTGCACCATCTCCCAGGCTTGCCCTGACACTCTATGAAAGTGGACACCATAGGTGAAACAATAGGCGTCTGATCAGGATACAGATAGCATGGAGTTAGTGGGTACAGTATGGTATTTGTATTAGAGTGCTGGCCAGTAGTTTCCACTATAAGCAGGACAGGATACACAGGCTAAGAAACTACGTTTTATGTGAAAGTGACTGATGAACCAAAGATTTCACCCAGATATGAATAAATCTAAGAGATGCTTGATGGTGTGACAAATATAGCCATCAACCATTGACCTATGAATAATATTTATTTTTAACTAAAGTCTACACACAGGTCAACTTTATGAAATCTGGATCCAAACCTGTATTTCATCAGCAATTCCCCCCACTCTCTACCCACGAAGTCACGAAGCGAGAGGTTTCACTGACTAACTCCAGCATAGTCGAAAGACGCAAACTGACAAACAGACGAAGACGAAATACAAAAGTATGCATGCACATTTCACCTACTCCTGGACACAATTGACGTCAACCCACAAAAACAACCCTTATCTACTGTGTGCTACCCCGTGTTCCCCTTCCCCCTCTCCTGAGAGGCCAGCTCTCTGCAAACAAACAGCTGACACTCAGTGAGATATCAATCTGTCAGCAGGTCGTCTTGTCGGGAAGTTCAAGTAGTCACTGGAGCGGTTCCTACTTCTCTTCCTCCTTAAGAGCCAAATAAATAAGAGGAGTCCTGCCAGAATACTATCAGCGCCTCAGGCAGCCTCTTGTGTGTGAGCGTGTAAATGAGTATTTTGGTGTGTCCATGCGGCCTCTCTGCTAGCATGTGCACTCTTTTGTGTTGGTGAATGAAAGCAACAAGCTTTGTGTGCCAAGGAGTTGCCAGCTGTGTTTCTATGTGGAGTTAAAAAAGGGAAACTGAAACATAGCCTAAAGTCCTGAAATCAGTCTCATCTTTCACAGGTACTGTGGCTATACCTGGAGACAGATCATCTTTGCTTTCAGGACTCCACTCTCCTCCTTTGTGTGTCCTGCTTTAACAAAAGGGCCATGGGCGGGACAAACAAAGAGTGTGTCAGTTGGTCTGCGCTTTGATTGGGAGCCTTACTCCACAATAACAGATGCGTCTCAAAGCTTGGGCACAGGAAGGGTTCTTGTTAACTTAAGGTGTCCAGAAACACTCAGTCCTCGCACTCATGTCCTAAGATAAGATAAGATAAGAAATTAATTTTACTCCGACTCACACACTTACCAAT